GGTCCCCAGCACCCCCCGGTTCACCGGGGATCCACCAGATCCCTCCTTCTCCCCCCACACTCCCCTGGGATCCCCGGAGCCCCCCAGCCCTCCCTGGGCTCAGGGGGCCGCACAGGGCCCGGGGGGATCCCCCAAAGCCCCCCAGCCCCACTCACCCGAGGGCAGGGGGCCGTTCTTCTCTGGGCTGGGGGCGTCCCCGTTCTCCACCGACACCTGGGGGGGGAGGGAGGTGTTGGGGGGAAAACTCGGCCTCCCCCAGTCCCAAAACCCACCCCAGGACCTTCCCCTGAGGGCCAAAATCTGCCCCACACCCCCTCCACCCCCCAAACCTTGGTTTGCTCATTGCCCCGGGCCCCCCTCAGGGTTCTGTCCTCATGCAGGTGGTGCCGCAGGGCTGCCAGTCACCCCAAACCCCCTCAGAGCCCCCAAACCCCCCAAACCTTGGTCTGCTCGTTGCCCCTGCTCTCCCGGAGCGTCTCATCCCCATCTCCCCTGTGCAGGTGGTACCTCAGGCCCACCAGTCACCCCAAACCCCCTCAGAGCCCCCAAACCCCCTAAACACCCCCCAAACCTTGGTCTGCTCGTTGCCCCTGCTCTCCCAGAGCACCCCATCCCCATCACCCCTGTGCAGGTGGTGCCACAGGGCTGCCAGCACCCCAAACCCCCTCAGAGCCCCCAAAACCCCCTCCAGCCCCCCCAAACCTTGGTCTGCTCGTTGCCCCTGCTCTCCCGGAGCGCCCCGTCCCCGCTGTCCCCGTGCAGACGGTGCCTCAGGGCCGCCAGGCGCTCCAGGGGCGCGGCCACGTCGGGGGAGGCCAGGAGCTGCCTGGCGCGGTCCTGCCAGGTGATGGCCCGCTCGGTGAGGCACTGCAGGGCCTCCCCCTCGGGCAGCCGCACCGGCAGCTTCTGCAGGGCCACCAGCAGCGCCAGGATGGTCTCGAGGCGCGGGCGCCGCGAGCGCTGGCACAGCGGGCACAGGAACTTGGCGTCCCACTCCCACCAGGCCGGCGACGGCTTCTGGGCGCCCAGGCGGGGCCAGGCCACGCAGGAGCCGTGGAACCAGTCCCGGCAGAGCTGGCACTGCAGCATGCCCGGCCCTGCCGGCTGCCCGCACACGCACGACGGGGGCCCCGGGCCCGGCAGCGGCGGGGCCGCCTTCTGGGAGTTGGCGTGACGGAGCCGCAGCATCCCCTCCTTCTCCTTCTGCTCGCCCTCCTTGAACGCCACGATCTGGGGGGGCAGCGGGGACGGGGGTGAGACCCCAGCCCAAAATAAACACCTCAATCGGGGGAGAGGAGCCCCCAGCCCAAAATAAACTCCTCGGTCGGGGGGGAATGTGAGCAGGGACGGGGGGTGAGACCCCAGTCCAAAATAAACACCTGGATCTGGGGGGAAAGGAATGTGAGCAGGGA